GGGGGGGGGGTTCTGCCTTGAATTGACTGACGCCGCGATCGAGGTGGATAAGAGGATGGCCGGGGGCGGGTGGAGATAGGGAGGGGGCAGCATCTCCCGGACCATCCCGCTGCTGATAAAGCAGCATCCATTGGGCCCTGGACCACTCATTCATCGTTGTGCGCGCAGCGAGCGACCAGAGTAGAGAGACGCTCACACCGCCGCCCACGCGTGTGATTTGAGGTCTGCTACAACGACGACGTCTGTGCGCAGGCCGCTGTGAACTCCCCAAAGATGTCCGTGAAGGTGATCGCCCTGGTGCTGGTGCTGGGCGCCGTCGTGTCCGAGCAGCGTGTCCTCATCGTGGAGGTGCCACCCTCAGAGCGGTTGCCGAGCCCCGCGGCCCCCGGCCCAGGCGCCCGGCTGGACGACGGTGAGCATGGTCTGGACCGAGAGGCTGCACCTGGGCCAGCCACCGCCCAGCTGACCGTGCCCAGTGGAGACGTGGAGGCCCTCACCCGATTCCTTCGTTTCCATTATAGAAGATACCTGTTGAGTAAGTGTTTACTTTCATTGTCTTTTTAGCACACTCTAAATGTAAAGGGGCGAATTCGTTCTTAAAAAGGGAACGTGTTCGTGCACGTAAAAATTGTCACTTTACATTTACAGTGCAGATACTACGTAGCTTAAAACACACAGACTAAACAAAACATGCGTATTACATAAGGTGACGTAATGTATTTCCAGTTTTGCTTTAGCATCAGAAACAATACAAACATAGAATACACCGCAAAATTTCATTGGATTGTTGTATTTCGTTGTATTTTTAGATATTACATAATTGGGAGCAGTGGCCGAACGAAAAATTCATACTCACGATAGATTGCACAAGTTCTGCTGACTTTAACTAAGAGGGCTGCAGGGTTTTTCTCCTCGTACCGTCGCAAACAATGTTGGCGGATGATACGTCGTATTGGTGTACATTTAAAAAGTAGAAGCCTCGAAAGTTAAAAGTCATGTTTTTAAGCTTCTTTTGCCTTTTTTTACTACTCGTATCTTGGCCTAGTACTAACCCCCTACCGTAGCGGGAGAGCGGAGAAGATGACGGAATCCGTAAATATGGTTACACGATAAGAGTTTGGGCGGCGCACGCGCCAGTCCGCCGGACCCCGTCCCTGACCGTGCGGTTCGGCCGCCTCGCGTCACACCGCGGCCAGCCTCGCGGCCAGCGCACCGCCAGGCCACAGGCCAACGCCGAGATAAGGCGGTCAGCGTTTAATGTATTATCCCACCGGCCGCGGATCTGACATCAGAAATATTCTTTATCTGCTCTTTCTCCCGCCTCGCGACTCTTTGTCCGTCTGTGTCGCGCACTGCTGCTGCTTTACGGCCGGTAGTAAAGTCTGTCGCGTTGGTGTGGTGCGCAGTATATTTATTGTGCGGTATCGGCTCGGCTCGAGACTATCGGCACGCACACGGACGCACTGACCTACATCGCGCCCGCCCGCCTGCCGCAGTCGGCGGCGGATGTCACCCGCAGGAGCAGGACGGCGACGGTCGTGATGATGATGGAGCGCCTCGGCACTGACCACAACCCTCGCTCTTTCTCCATCTCTCTCTCTCTCCGTCCGCAGGGCTGTTCCCGCTCGAGCACGTGGACGGCGACGCGTACGGGGACAACCAGTGCGACCCGGACGAGTGCTACTCGCACTGCTACCTGCAAGGCTTCCGCAGCGGCAAGTGCAAGGAGAACAAGTGCTTCTGCACGCAGGCGCCACCCTCCTCCACCACCACCGTGGCGCCCCCGCCACTCAGATGAGACGTATCGGTGATTCCTGTATTAGCTTGTAAGGGACTTGAGAAGATGGTCGTGATCTCAGTGTGTGTGTGTGTGTGTGTGTGTGTGTGTGCTACTGCGTGAGTGTGTGTGTGTGGTGAAGGCAATCCCTGCCCTATCACAGCAAACATTTTTCCGGGAACTTCCCGGTTGGATTCGGGAAGTACATTTTACGGTTGCTCCAAATTTTATAACATGCATAGATATGACGAAAAATAGCATCCGGAAAATTACTTCCCGAATTCAACCGGGAACTTCCCCGAAATATATTTGCTGTGTATCTTATTTCTCTGATACTGTTCACTGTTGCGCGCAGGGTCCTTTTTCCGTTACTGTATTTATTGAACTTGTCGCCGAGATTAAACAGAAAATAAAGATAATAAAGAAGAAACTGTCGTGCGTATCGTAACGTGTCCGAGCGTCCCTCTCGCACCGGCGGCGCGGCGGCTCACGGACTCTATTTCCTGGTCATGAGCCGCGGCCGGACATCTGGACGGCGCGAGCGCGCGGGGCGCGGGGCGCACCGCACCGGCTGAGTCAGGCGCGGCGCGGCGGCCCGGCGGGCCACCTCTGTACGTACATCACGCCTTGACCCACCCGCTCCCGCTGCCCCCACACCCCGCCTCACCCCGCCTTACCCCGCCTCACCCCGCCACGCCACACCACGCCAAGCCATGTGTAGGCGGGGGCTTAACAAGCCACAGGAGCAGCCGGCAGCAGCAGCGGCGGTGGTGGAGGCGGCGACAGCAGCAACAGCAGCAACAGCAGCAACAGCAGCAACAGCAGCAGCTGCGAGGACGCCGCCCTGGACCCTGGTCCTCTCCCGGCCCGGCACCCAGGTCGGGTAGCCTTTAGTGCTGCCGAGGAGCAGCCACCTCGCCGCAGCCCTGGCCCGGCGCGGCGCGGCGCCTCCTACAAAGTGCCTCCCACGAACACCAGGCGCTCCGCTCCGCACACCACCAACGGACACCGGGACCGGGCGCGCTGTATGGTCATGGTCTCGTAAAACCAAACGGAGAAAGAGACGGCTCTGCCTGGTGGACCTGTCCTGTCAGCCCGCGACACCGCGTTCGCCCTAGACGCCCTTCCTGCCCGCACCCGACAACCCGACTGCTCCATTCTGTGATTGCCCCCAGTTTGCAGTGTGTGGATGCGAAATTACCCCGCCGCGGGGCCGGGACCCTGACGGGGCGGGCCGCTCGCCGCTCTGCATGCCCACCCGGACCCGGGCAACCTGTTTTGCGTTGAAATGTCGACGCCAACGTTTTCATACTTCGAGGAAAGCAGTCCGCCGCCCGCCGCCATGCCGCCCGTGACATTGGCCTCTGCTGCGCGCCGCCCGCCCCCGGGCCGGGCCGGGCCTTGTTCACTGAGAGCCGAGGCGGGGCGGCGCGCAGGCACGCAGCGCCGAGTCTTGTCACCGGGATGCTCCTCCCTCCGTTTCGCAAACAACGCCCTCTCACCTCTCACAGCGGGATTTATCCTCGGAAGTGGCTCATTTTTATTTCGGTGCCATACCGAGCACACTCTGTAAAACCTTTGATGTCGAACCCCCTCCCCAACGCCCGACTGAGGGAGAGAGAGAGAGAGAGAGACTCGGCAGCTCGCGGTCGATCCCAGGCATGCGTTTCCAGGCCCATCCCAGATCGCAAAGGGCGCCCCCGCCTGCCCGCCGCTCCCTGGAGGGGGGCCGCTGCCCCCTCTACACGCGTGGGGCGGGAGGGACGCCGAAGGGCGCTGCCAGGGCCGCACGCCCGCGAGGAGGTGGCTAGGCAACCCGGCGCGCGGCCCTGCGGGGCGGTGCGCGCGGCTGCCTACCCCGCGCGGCGCTCCCGCCGCCCCCGCCTCGGCCCCCACCACGGCACGGCACTGCCGCGCGCTCCCCACGCCCTACGTCCTGCCTCGCGCCGGCCGCCCAACAGCCATCCCCGCCACTTCAGCTCTTTCACTCCCACCGAAACTCGTCCCAACCGAACACAAATTTTTGCGTTTTATCAAAAAACATCCCATCAGCCAAAACATTTTAAAACTTTTGTTTACTCCCGTCGTGAAACCCCGAGTTTCCCCCTCTCCAACCCCCTCTCACCCGCTCCGCGCATTCCGAACGAGCCAGCTCCGGTGCGCAATGAAAGAAAGAAAGGCGAGCTCTGCCAAAAAACATAGACTTATCGCAGGCCGCAATCGATTGGGCGTCGCCTCACGCGAGCCGGCGAGACGCGAGACATGTCCAAGATGGAGATCTGCACGGGGAGGCCAGACTCTCGACACGGCCCGGCCTAATCCATCAGTCTCGGCTCGCCTCCTCGGGCTCCGCGAGGTGTCCTCTGCCCCCCCCCCCCTTACCTCCTCGCATTTCAAGCCTTGTTACTCATTTGTGTCATTTCCATTCGGTAGGCCAGGAGTGCAGGGCGCGGCGCGAGCAGTGCGCGGTATGGCGTGGCAGCGCCAAGGCCGGGCTGGGTCTGCGCCGCCCCGCCCCGCCCCGTCCCGCGTCACGTAACGCGTCCGGAGTGTCGCGTCATGAGGCCGGAATAGCACGTCTCATACATATACGCCCTCCTTAAATCACTGGCAGTAACAGCGCTCGGCTCGACTCGGCTCGGCGAGGTCTTCTAGGCCGCCTCATCCTGGGAAACAACAGCCAGGGCCAGGAGCCCCGCGGCCCGCAGCGCCCCGCGCAGCGCCGGGCCGGCCGCACAGGAAGCCGCGCGGAGAGCGCCGCGCCCAGCCGCACAAGGACCCCGCGGGAGACCTGACTGATATCCCCTCATTTCCATGGCAGCAGTAATCCACGCGGTTTCCGATTTCGCGGAGGAGGCGAAGGGGTGGGCCGGGCTGGGCAGCATTGCTAACGTGTCGTGCGTCGTGCAAAGCCGGGCCGTGCAGAGGAGTGGCGGGGCG